AAGGTAGAGAGAAGGAGGAGTGGCAGCATGCAGTCTGCCGTTGTCCCTCCACTCCCTGCACTGCTCTCCACTTACACAGAGACCGTGCGTTGCCACCTTCTCTAAGGTGGAATGCAGAATAAACCCCTGGAGGACAGCCTTGTCTATGATCTAAGTGATCTGTGTTACACCAAGGCTGACTTGGATAGAATGTTACCATCGAGGGTCTTCACGCTCTCCCTGTTGGGCTCAGCAATAGGTATTCTCATAGCAGTAACATGGTCAGAGAGGTGCTTGTCCCCCTTGAGCATTCCTGGTGATAGTGCGGCTGGGCTGACAGGCAGCTAGTAGGTTCATATTTTGTTCTAACAGATGCTGCTGGTATAGCAGCCTAGTGTAACAAATTCAGCAAGTGTGTTCAAGCATGTTTTTTACTCTATTTTCAGAAGTAATAATGTCAACTGATTAAAACTAAGATTGTACTGGGAGGACAGTGGTGGTACACTCCTTTAGTCCCAGCACTTGGGAGGCAGAGGCAGGTGGATTTCTGAGTTTGAGGCCAGCCTGGTCTACAGAGTGAGTTCCAGGACAGCCCAGGCTATACAGAGAAATCCTGTCTTCAAAAAAAAAAAAAGAAAGAAAGAAACTAAGATTGTATTTTCTTTTCCAACTGTTGGGAAAACATACCAAATGATGTGGGGGTTTACCCATGATTTAGGAATATAAAATATATATTCCTTTTGGCTCCTACTCTGTGATTTAGAGGTATATTTGAAAAATGATATTTTATCTTCCTCAAGGCTAGATCAATTAGTTGAAATATGCGCTCATTCTTTTTTCTTAGTTACATAGCCAAGAGTAAATTTAAATGTGAAGGTTTATCTAAAACATTAAAAATATTTTAAAGTTAAAAAATATAACTGTGTGTGTATGTGCATGTCTGTGTGTGTGTGTGTGTGTGTGTGTGTGTGTGTGTACATCTGTGTGTGGATATGCCACAGTGCATTGTGTGTGTGTGTGTATACAGCTGTGTATGGATATGCCACAGTGCAGTGTGTGTGTGTGTGTGTGTGTGTATACATCTGTGTGTGGATATGTCACAGTACATTGTGTGTATGTGTGTGTGTGTGTGTGTGTATATACATCTGTGTGTGGATATGCCACAGTGCATTGTGTGTGTGTGTGTGTGTGTGTGTGTGTGTGTGTGTGTATACAGCTATGTATGGATATGCCACAGTGCATTGTGTATGTGTGTGTGTGTGTATACATCTGTGTGTGGATATGTCACAGTGCATTGTGTGTGGATATGATGGCACAGTGCATGTTTGGTGATCAGTGGACAACTGTCATAAGTCATTCTCTCCTGCCACCTTCTAGGATGGATCTATGAATTAAACTCAGGTCACTGACTTCCCACCCATGAGCCACTGCCTGTTGAGCCATCTCTGGCACTAAAAATACTTTAATCATGTTGTTATAAAAAGTAGCCTTTCTCTTTTCCTCTTCCCTCTACCCCTTCCTCTTCAACTCCCTCCCTTCCTGTCGTCTTTTATCATGTCATTCATTCTTTCCCTCTTCTATTCCTGTTCTAACTCAGGAGATTCCTTTAGAAGTCTTCAAACAACATGCTGAATGTTTATTCTACCATCGTGTATGTACGTTTGTGTTTTCCTTATATCAAATAATCCTTTCTTAAGCCTTTTTTTCTTATGAAAACCCAGTATACTTTGAAAGGGGTAAAAAGCAGAAATGATACCACCCGTTTATCACAAGTATATGCAGGTAAAATAAAAACAAAGCCATTGCCCTGGGATCATCTGTCACACTCCTCTAGAATTAGCCATACTTTACATGTGTATAAACTTGCTCTTCTTCACCGTCTTACCACCCACCATAGTTCCGTACTAATTAGGGTTAGTTTGCTAGATGATCTCCGAGTTGTTTGCTTTGGGCTTGTTTTTAGTAAATACAGTTCATGTGAGCAGGTAACCTTCTTGGGCCAACATTTCAGAGTCACACTTGTAATGTTATAACGGTTTCTACTGCTATGAGGTACACTGTCATATGAGCTTACCAAAAACCCACTGTCTGCACTGCCGTTTTGGTCTGGGATGAGGAGTGCCTCTCTGGCTTTATTCTTTCTTGTCTCTTGGTGGCACTGCATACATCTCCAGTGGGTATATATGTAGGGGTGGGATTGCAAAACCATGGGGACATGTATCTCTGGCATTTTTTTAAAGTAGTATCTGCTTACACTGCCACCAGAGAAAGATGATGGTTCCCCTTCTCCGTGTCCACACCACACTAGATACTCTTTTAATCTATGTGTTTATTGTTACCTCCAAGTTTGAACTAGCAATGCTCGGGAAATGCAAAGAAACTGTTGAGATTCTTGTTAGAGTTACATTTAATCTACTAGATGACGGGGGGGGGGGGGGGATGTTGCCTAACACGTTCAGTGAGTTTCTCTGGTAAGGCACTTTTCACTTACTTGGCAATGCTCGTGTTTCCTTTAGATGCCTTTCAGGCTAGCATGCCACACATTGTGTTCGTTCTCGATATTTTATGTTTTAGGCTGCAGCTAATGCTTATGCCTCTTTTCTTTTGTTTGATACAAGATCTCACAGCGTAGTCTTGGCTAGTGCAGAACTCACTGTGTAGACCAAGCGAGGCTGAAGCCTGAAGTCCTCTGCTTCAGCATTGCTGGGGTGCAAGCATGGGCCGCCATGCCAATGTCTATAAATGCTCCTTTTGATAAATTTTGCTTTCAAGTATGTTGCTGATGTATTTGCAATTTTTTTTCAAATTTTACCTTTTGTGCAACTGCATTTCTTCTGTGGATTTGGTGAGCTTCCCCACTCCTCTTACATTATGATGGCTTTAATTGACTTTATTGCTGTTTAGTAAGGCTAGGACCTCCACTGACTGTGATTTCTAAGATAGTGAATGGTGACAGAAATCAGGAATCGTTAACAGTTTCAAAGAGGAAACAAGTTATGAAAGTTTTTGAGACCGGGTCTCAGGTATGCCAGGATTGACTGGAGCTCACTGTGTAAACAAGAGTGGCCTTGACTTTCTCTCATCTTCCTGCCTCCGTCACCTGAGTGCAGATATTACAGGTATGTGCCACCACACCTAGCTGATGTGGTGCTGGAGACTGGACCTAGTGCCTGTGTGCTCTCTAGCTCCGTCACCCCCACCCTGTGCAGATATTTTTTTAAAATGTAACATGTTGTGTATTGATGGATTTGGATTGCTAACGGTTTCTTTAGGAACTTTAAACCTAGCTTCACGAGTGAGTGAATCCTGTGATACGTGCCCTTCTTATGTCTTTCCTAAGCTTGAAGTCTAAGGGTTTGTTAGAGTCCTAACACAGATGGGGGTAAGGACTGTTTCTTCTTTGCTCTCTGAAAGTGTTTGGAGAAGAAGATTATCACCAGTTAAGGGAAGCTGTCCCCACTAAAATGTCTTGTTTTGTGTCTTAATTTAAAAAACTTTTTAATTACAAGTTCAATCTTAGTAAGATGGTTGGAATATTCTGTTTCTTCTAGTGTCTCATCCGTAAGCCATCATTCTCTAAGAGTTTGTCCATTTCGTCCAAATTTCAGATTTGCTGAGAGTTGTTTGAGCTGCCCTCTTACGACGTATTCATGATCTGTAGAATACACAGTGCACTCGCTCTCTTATTGGACTTTCCAGAAATTTATCCATTTTTGTTAGTCTTTTCAATTTTAGTTTGTTACCTTATTTTCATTACTATTTATTTTCTCAAGAATCACTTAGAACATATTCAAATATATCATAGACCTTGTATTTCTATTTGATCAAAAATCACACTATGGAATTTCCCTCATCTGAAATTGCTGTTACTTGTCTGTGACTGTAAGGAAGCACTCTGCTCCACCACCAGGTGGCTGTGCTTTGTCCACAGACTGATCTCACCCAGCTTCTCCTGCTCAAACACCCAGTCCCTAAGGGGAATGTGCTACTGGGCCACTGGTGGGTGCCTGTTTCTCCTTAAAGTTATGGGGTCTTTGCTTTCTGTGTCTTCAGCCCACATTATAAGGTGCACATGAATCTAGGATTCTTCAGTTTCCTAGAAGCTGAATGTGTCGTCATTGTTGAGTGTACTTCGTCACCTCCGTGAGTCTTGTCTCCAAGGAAACAGACACATAGCTCAACAGCGTGTGGTTATTGTATACCTAGAAAAGTCTACAATGTGTTTGCTTTCCTGCCTCTCTGTTTTGTTTACTTATCTGCATGTGCCAACCTTTGTCTTTAAGAATATAGTTGAGATATTTAGTGTAAATAAATTCACATCCATGTTTTGAGATTGATAACTCTTTAGAAAACAGTCTTTTAGCTCCAGAAAATACCTCATTACCATGTGTAAGTTGAAGAAATTGCTTGAGCTATTAGGATGGTTCTGTGATTAAAGACACTTGTTGCCAACACTGATGATCTAAGTTCAATCTCTGGGTCCCATATTGAAGGAAAAAACCAGCCCTGCTGGCTGTCCTTTAACTTTCACATACACACTGGCCACATGCATTTGTGTGTGCATATCTGCAATAGATAGATAGATAGATAGATAGATAGATAGATAGATAGATATAAATGAATAAATAGAGTTTAAAAAGAAATATCTTTGATTTGTCTAAAAGTATGCAGGAATTTGGAAATGTCTCTATTACTTGACTGAAATGTCTACAGACTGTTGGTAATTGTTTGGGAGTGTGTTATGCACCTCTATCCTTGTCTTTCTGTGATGTAATTTCAGTACACACAGCATTGCCATTTTATTGCTTTTGTTTGTTGTAGTAGTTCGTGGTGATGATGTTTGAGACAGAGCCTCTGTAACTCTGGCTGGCCTACAACTTAGTGTATAGACCATAGCCGTCCACCTGCCTCTGCCACCTGAGTGCTGGTAGGAAAGGTGTGCCCCACCACAGCCAGCCAACAATACACCTTATAATCTGTGTTTTATAAAATACTATAACAATTTTATATTTGCTCTACAGGGCTGTGACTCTCAGGTGAGCTTGTCTGAGGTATCCTGTGGTGACAGTACATCCTCCTGTCAGTCTCTTGAACATGGCTCTGTTCCAGAAATCCTCATTGGACTCCTTTACAACGCCACCACTGGAAGGCTGTCAGCAGAAGTGATCAAAGGCAGCCACTTCAAAAACCTGGCAGCAAACAGACCACCCAGTGAGTGAAAAAGAGTTATTTTTATCTTAATGTTTTCTGCACTTAGGGGACTCGAATCATTTTAGTCTTAACCAACCACAATGAAACACTGAATCATCAGCCAATCTGTTTCATGTTTTCTATTTCCAGTCATTTGGGAAGAGGAAAATGTGAAACCCAAAATATTAATTGTATGGTGACAGGAATTTTAATTTTTCATAGTGTCTGCAGAATAAATTATCCCTATCATAGCCATTATCTTTTAATTCCAGAAGAAGTTACAGCGCTTTTAAAAGTAACTGGTATTCACCGTATTAACAGAAAAGTATATAGCTTTCGTTAGCTAAAGATTAATGTTTTGTTTTCTGTCTACATGCAATACTCTGAACTAATGTAACTACTTCTGTATTTCTCTTCTTTTATCCTTAACACCTTATGAAGAAAGTATTTCCTCACATCTTGTTCTCCTTTGAAATTATAGGGGCTACCGATGAAATAGAGTGGTACAGCATGTACTTAGTATGTACAGCATGTACTTAGTATGTACAGTCCCTGCGTTTTATCACGAGCACCATAAGAAAGAAAAACTTATTACCCTACACAAAACAAACAAATGAAAAACATCACTCCGAAAGCTAGCAAGCCTTTTTCCTCCCTTCCCAGTACAAACAAAATCAGGACAGTGTTTGACCTAGGTGACTGGGGGTGGGGTTGGGGAGTGAAGCCCATTTGTCTCTCTCGTCTCCTCTACCATCTCTGTATAGTGAGGATGAGAGTAAGTTTGGGGAGTGCAGAGAAGTTGTCCCTACTCCACTCCAGGACTCTTGATGGCTGTGAGCCAGATCTAAATGGGGGACAGAACAACTTCTCTGTATTTCTGTAAATTAAACTTGTTCATGCCCTGGACTAAAGCTTTGAAAGGAAATTGTAAATAATTAATAGCTTAAGTTTGTTAACTGATTTCCCAGATACTTTCTTAACACACTCTTACTCAGAGTGCCAAGCATAGGGGGAACTTTTTCTATTCTTTATGTTAACTTTGCTTTTAGATGCCATCAAATTCATTATCAATGCAGATGAAACATCATAAAAAGATACTAGGTTTGTAGCAAGAAATGTTAGGAAGCTTACTTTATACATCATAGAATGTGCCTATCCCTAAATTGAGAAGTCTGAAAGCCCAGGCTGGAGAGATGGCTCAGCAGTTAAGAACCCTAGCTGTTCTTCCAGAGAACTCAGGTTCAATTCCCAGGATCCCAACTGTCTAGAACTCTAGTTCCAGGGAATCCAATGTCTTTGTATGGCCTCTGCAGGCACCAGATACACACTACATGTAGGCAGAATACCCATACACATAAAATAATGAGATTGTTAAAAAGAAAAATCTAAAGAGAAAAAAATCGCCATAGACAAATGGCCAGACCCACAAGTCTGTTTCTTAATAGGTAGAGTTAAGGTCATGTATCTTATAGGGTAATTGTGAGAATCAGACCTGACAAAGGTACATAAAAGTAGAATTAGTATCATCCAGTTTCTTGTTACAAAGAGAAAACTGATTGTGTGAAAGATCATTCTGAGAATAAACAGGCTAGAGAGTCTAACTTGATTGTCTTCATCCAAACACACTGAGAATCTCTCCATGGAGGGCTGGAGAGAACCTGAGTAAGATTTGCAGGTGAAGACAGGTGAGCTCATG